TAGTGTCTCAAAAACTACTAGCAAACATTACCTTGTGAAACAATTTAGAAAATAGATATAAATTACTTCGGTAAGATCGACATATCTCTAGACATAGGTTGATTTAACGATTTTTTTAAAGAATGTCACTGCTTATAAGAAAATAATCAAAATTATACAGATAAATAACAACACCAACTAGGAAATGATAACCTCTCCTACTTGTCTAGGAGTGTGCAACGGTTCGATCCACAACAGACCAGACTGGCGCTTGGACTGAACCGCATTGAACCGAGTTGGTGAGGATAATCACCTATAGATGCTGAGGATAATATGGTCGAATCATTGAGACACTAACATCTATAGGTGATTATCCTCAGCATGTTCAAACCGGATCATTGGTCCCATGAACATCTATAGGTGAACATCTATAATACGGTCGAATCATTGGTCCCATGAATTTTATAAATACTGAAAAGAAAAATGAATCGAGTTGACATTTAAATCGGATCAAAACAGACCAAATACACTATTAATCCAATATTTAGTTCATAAATATATCTTACTATTGAACCGTGGTTCTCCTTGACCGGATCTATAGACACCCCTATACTTGTCAAACCCTAACTCACTCCTATTAATATTTAAAATCCAATTATATTATATAGATTAATTCTGCATTATCTCTTTCCCGTAACAAAAAATTCTACCTACGTGGTCTACTTTTGGTGCACTGCCGACAAACAATTAATCATTTGCTAAATAATTGGCATCTTCTGATGAGATCAAGAAATCACGTGTATGTGTAATTCAATCGTGAAGGATTTGGGATACCTCACCTCACATTGTCTAATCAAGAAAATGATTTGGACTTGACCAACGTGGATTCTTCCCCGTCCATCATCCTTCGTTTCTGCAAACAGAAAGGGCGTTGGGGTGGGTAAAAATAATCCAAAGGGTTTAATTTGTTGGATGGATTAATACACTTAATTTCTTCACGTGTAAAACGTGGTTCACTGTTACTTGTAAACTTACTCGATAGTTAGGTAAATTGTAATGAATAGAATCAAGTCTTATGGCGGGCGGTGGCAGCTGCTTGGGACGCTGAATTTATACCTATGATCCGCAGGATATTTTAGGAGAAAGTACACTCTTCCGCCCAACTAATAGGAATCAAGTATATAGAGAGCATCAATCTCTAGTATTGTAGCAACATGTATTAGATGCGGAGTATGTGTGTGATCGGTTTGTTGTGTATTTGTGTAAGCTAGATCTTGGCGCCGATCTTTTTGTAGAACTACCATATCGATTCCATTTTCCAAACCATTTCTTTTGATAATAAACGATCTTCGTCGGCTCGGCTCAATCTTAGTAATAATTTCACCTCCGAGAATAACCTTAAAAGCCGTAAATATAACGAGATACTAAATGGTGCAACTTGTACTCAAAGGGAAGATGCAGATGGAGATATATTTTGGCCTGCGAAATGATTGATGAGTAGTATAGAACCTAGCACCCAGACTGCTAGCTACACCGACAAGATTTCCACCATCCAAACCCTAAATTGAATATGTATATATTATTTTAACGTGGTGATGGATGTTTCCCCACAGTTTGGGACCAAGACCTCCCAACTCCCTTCGCTCACACTCCCCACAGTTTGTGGTCTCTCTCATTTGTTTTCTTTTTCTCACCCTCCCTTTGATTTCTTTCTTCAGTAGTCGGTCAGATGGTCATGCTCATATCTTTCTTTCGTTCTATTTAATTCAATTTCATTTCATCTATCCTTTTCTTTCATATAACAATATCAAATCAATGCCGACAATGTGCATGCCAAGCTATACCATAGGGATAGAGGTATCAAGTACTGGTGAGTGGTCCGGTCGAGTTCGAGCCAGTAAGTCTAACACAACTCTAATAACGGATTGACGATTGTGAATACAGTACTATTAAGTTGCAATGTCGGCTCAAATTTTACATGATATATTCGATTAGTATATGATGGGGTTGGAGTACATACTTCCCCAATTTTTTTTGTATAAAAAATGTCATTGTCAACCATTTATTTACTAATCCGTGGTGACTAATTGACATCCATTTATTTACGGAAACCTTTATACATGCTTGTTATTACTACTACAATTGTTGTTGTCTGCACCAGAATACAACACAAGCACATGTTCTTGAGTGGGTTAGTTTTGGCTTCCGTCCATCGCCAAGCTGTTTAAGTTTTATAGGTGGTATGGGCAACTTCAACGAGACAAATTCGGTTGAGTTGATGGGTAGATAAGACATGGAATAAATCAATGTGCGTGTTATATACATTTGTTTAACATTAATGTACGGTGGATTGATTTCTAGTATAAATGCGTCATTAAATTTGTGCAATTCGGATTTTTACGGTTAGTTTGGTGTCAAAGCAAAATCACGACGAGCTCCTTTCCTTATAGATAGATACATCTTGAATTGGCCGGCCATAGTTAGGGTTGATTTTAACTATCTTCCTTACAATGTATTGGTGTTTATTTTAGTCATTGAGTGATGAGGCATTGGCCGGCCATACTTATATTTATTGCATGATCTAAGCCACAATATCTCTTTAAAATAATGCATTTATGAATCTACTTAGAAATAGTTAGTTTCATGATCACCTAGTTAGAGTGACGAATAATTAACAAATTAAAACCATTACATCATCATCATGTGGGGGCGTGATTGCTAATTAATAAGTCGTGACTGGTTGTGAAGTCAACTAGTCAAGTGTGGTTTCATTAGAAAACTAATCCCAACATTATTTTCTGTACAATGAAAATGAAATATATAATCGATTGGCTTCACAGAAAGTTACGATAACTAATAATTATAATCAAAGCAATAATAATGCCGCAAAGCAAACAAAATCAAAAGATCGGTCGAAAGGCTTGATTGATTGATTGATTGGCATGCAACTTTCCAAAAGGATTGGTTGCTGGTAAAAGGCTAAAAAGCTTTCTCGGTTTGGGATATGCCAGATTAACATCAAAGAATCCTGATAAAATTATTTAGGTTGCTAATAAGACCTAACTAGAGAATTTGCAATTATCCAATTCGTTCGAGAAATGACTTCAACCTTGATACATGAGGGTTCGTCATGAGGATGGATGTCACGATACCAATCCCATCAATGCAATGCCAAAATCATATACGAGTAAGATCGATTGACATAAAAAGTTAGAACATGCAAGCAGAAAACAACATGAGTCGGCCATACAATTCATATGCATCTCAGTCATGAGAGGTTTTGCTTCGGCTTTAATCTCGGGTGGAAGAAAAGGTTATAGACAATCAGTAGTGGAGCCATGCATGTTGGTGCTCAACTTGCAAATATCGGTAAAAGACTAAAAGTACATGTAAAATAAATTTGAAATCACAATTTCGATTGAAAACCTGTAAACTTTTATATTCCCCGCATTCGTATTTCTATCTTTTTTCGCGATAAACAATCATACTCTTAATTATTTGGGTTTACTTCTTGCTCTCAACAATTTTACACAGTCTAGTTGAATACATTTAGTTGTCAGTTGTCACAAAAGAAAATGAATTTTTTTCCATATATCTTTATTCTTTGGCCAATTCATCACGGCCACAGAAATTATATATTGTGCGCCTCTCACATTCATTCTTTAATATGAAGTATTAACCAATTGTGACCCTTCAATTCTTTTCATTTTGTTAACCCCATTCTTCACTTTACATGTACGTACGTAACTAACTACGACCATGAGTTTATTAAATCTTATTTTACTTTTCAAGTATCCAATGCTTAATCCTGGTTTATTAAATTCTATGTGTAGTTAGTGCTAATCCAAATTTATCATTATTCGCTTTACGATAGTTTAATTCCATCCACACAAAGCTTGATTAATTAGACCTAACCCGACGACACATTGGAATATAGATTCACTATCATCAAATGATATTATTAAAATTTCCATAAATATGGTGTACTCTTTCCTTCTCTTAAAACTTTGTATATAGAATTATACCTTATTGCTAACGTCAGGGTTTACTATTAACTTTTATTTTTGTTTAGAAACTTTCTGTATCTCAATAATAAACAAAATTTAGCAATAAACAATAATAAAAAGGTAATGTCTATTTTTTATCCAAATCTTTATATTATTCAAATCTATTAAAATGTTATTAATTACCCAATCTTTCGTAATGTATGAAAATATTAGCCATTTTTATGTCATTGTTAATAATTTTATAACTTTTATCTTAGTTAAAATACTAAAATTTTAGAATGCTACCATTCATGTGTCTCTTTCAAGTCATTATCATGTTGCCAAACCAATATTACTAACAAAATTGCTAACTGGAAGTTAACATTTGGTTAATTCTAACTAGTTATCAATTTACATTAACTTAAGACAAACTTATTACGAAGGATTTAATGAATGCATTGTTCATTATTAAATTGACGAGACCATAAGAGATGAGAGCATAATTTGTCAGTACATGAAAGTTCAGTGATATGTTTGTAATTGACCGCGTTAGGAAATAGAGAAATTGAATAGTTTTTTTTTGGGTTAATTGCATGGTTGGTCACTGAGATTACAAAAAACGTTCATATTTGGTCACTCGAAATATTTAAATCCATTCGTGGTCACTAACTTTACATTTTCGTTTCATCATTAGTCACTCTCCGTCCAACTCCGTTAACTTTGTCCTACATGGCAGTCAACTTTAATAGTTGACCGTTAAATAAATGACATGGCAAATAAAAAATAAAATTTTTTAATTATTTAACAATTCCACCTCACAACTACTTTGCACTTATCTTGGGGAAAAAATTCCTAAATCATATTTTCCTGTCGTAGCAGCCAGCAACACCCAACCTTCCTCCTCCGACTATGTTCGCTGCCGCCGTCAACATTCACCTCCACAACATCTTCTTCCTTTCTTGCGGTGGTTGGTTCGCGAGAAGCCGGAGTTTAAGCAGAGAGCTGGTGAATCTGGGTTCGCGAAGAGAGAGACCTTCAAATTCCCATCCCACTGTCCAGGACAACGTAACCTTCAAATTCTAGGGTTTTGAAATTCGAATTCAAAATCGGGGCAAAGAACTGGGAGAACCTGAAACTCTCGTCCGGAAAAGCGATCGGTACCTTATACACGTCAATCGCGAGGTGTTGAGTACCATGGGAAGCCGCGTATTGAATAACCCTAGCCAGCAATTTACGGTTTCTCCGCTCGTAACACTCCTCGTCGGCGTAGCTGATCTTGAGGGCATCAACAACGGGATTGCGAAGAGACAGGACTCTGTAGACGAACCAGCAAAAGCTTGAGTATTTGTGGAAGGATTGTCCATCGAAAGTGAGGACGGGGACATGTTTCCAGGCGGATCGCCAGAGTGGGGACAGTACGCACGTCTGAACGGCGGACTTGTTGTCGTCGAGCAACGAAAGGATTTGATGAATGATGGAGTCCGGAAGATGGCTTAACCTGTCAGTAGTAGTAGCAGTAATAGCATCTTCTTCTTGGCGACTTCTTTCTCCTGTTGCTTGCCCCAACTCGGTCATGGCTGTTTTTCTACAGAAGCCACCTAGAGATGATTTCAGTCCGCTTGGATTCGGTTTAAATAGCAATCTGGTATTTTTCCAATCTGGTTCTTCGCCTCACTAAACTCACCACCGCCGCCGCTACCCTTCTGCTTCAACAATCTCACCGCATACAGAGCCTCCTCCACATCCGCCCAGAAGCAGGAATCTTCAGTCATCATATCCACTGGCTTCTTCTCCTTCTTCTTCTTCATCTTCCCCTTCCCTGCCGCGTCTTCCTTCTGCCATTTCTCCAGCAGAATGTAATGTGGCGACCTCCCCTGTTTCTTGTAGTCTCTGTTTTTCCCGTCTCGGTAGAACTCTGCGATGTCGAGTGGCTCCACCATTCGCCGGTAATTGGTTCCGCCGTAGAGGAACATGGTTCGGAAGAACAAGCTCTCCTTTTGGGACTTGCTTTCGGCTTCTTTAGACTAAAAAAATAACTATTGAGGAAGGAGCGGCAGCGGAGGCGATCGCGTCATGGTCACAGTGGCAAGTTTTATTTTTATTTTTTAATAGTTATAAAATGAGGTGGAAATTGTAAATATTAAATTTTATTATTTTATTATTTTTTTAATGGCCACGTCACTCATTTAACGGTCAACTATAATAGTTGACTGCCACATCAGCAAAAATTAACGGAGACTAACGGAGAGTGACCAAATTTGAACTATTGAACTAATCTTAGTGACCATTAATAGAATTAAATATTTGCAGTGACCAAACATGAACGATTTTAGTAAACCCAGTGACCATCCTTGCAATTAACCCGTTTTTTTTTAAAAAATCAAAATTTTGAAAGCAAAAAGAGAAACGAATCATATAAATATTAAATAGTGCATTACTTTTCTTTTTGCGGTTTTATTTAAACCTCCACCACAACTCAACTAGCTCTCTCTCTCTTCCTTCTCTTCTGCTGCTTCTTCTCCTGTCCTGGGTGCTGTCGGTGTTAGTCTCCCTCTGTCCCTCTCAGATCCGCCTGCTCGTTTGCTGTTCGTCTGCCGCTTGGTCTCTCAGATCTCCGCAATCCGGATTCTTCACGGATTTCACCGGATTCCAGGGCTTCCGGCGCCGTAATTTGTTCGTGGGTTGGGGAGTAGTTGTAACGATTGAGGTTTGAATCCTATTTTCGGCTGTTCGGGCGAGAATTTTTGAGGAGAGCGAGAGGGGAATTTCTCAGTTCAACTTCGATTAGTTTCGGAAGAGGAAGAAATAAAGAAAGGGAGGAAGAAAGAAAGAATTGAGTAATTTGAATCTTTCTTTGATTCAAATCTTTGCTCATTTAGCGGAATTGGAACTTCTCTGTTGCCGGCGCCCACAGCAAGGGTTTTGGGTTTCTACCTAAGGACCATAAGTTTTTTTAAATTAAAAAAAAAAGATGCAGCGAGACCACCCTAAGAAGGTGAGAGCCCTTTTTTACTCATGGGCCGATTTTGTGTTAGTGTTTTTGTTCATGGAGAAATTGGTGATCTGAGGTTCATCTGCCATTTGGGTCTTGGTTTTTACTATTTGTCCTGCTCTCTTTGTTTTATCGCTCACACCTTGGATTCAGCGACGAGAAAAGAAGGTGATTTCGAGGGATTCTTTCCAGTATGTAGTAAAGAAGTTGTTTTTACATAGTGGAGATAAGAAATGGGCGAGGGAAAAGCAAGAAGGGTACTAAGAGAGCTTTCCGTAAATAAGAGTGATCTACTTGACGTGCTCAGTTCACCAGGTGGTTGGTAGCAAAGTATGGAATTATTATATGCTTTAGTGGGTGTTCTTCAGTTTAGGTTTCTTTGGAGCTGAGTGAGGATGAATTGGATGAAGTTACCCAGTTTAGAGGATGCTTGGATTAGTGTGTGACTGTGAGGGATGATTTGGCTTGAACTGATGGGATTACTTGGTCTGAGCCATTTTTTCCGGTTCCATGGTCGTGTAATATGCCTTCATTCGTTTTCTTCTATACTCAAACTCTGTCCTGTTCTGCCCTTTTCTAGTTCCCATAGGAACCATTAACATCAAATAGTTTTCGAAAACCTTTGAAGTTTATGGCTGCATTTCTCTGTGCCCGATAACTGTCCATTTTTAATCGGTCTCTGTATGTTGTTGTGAATATCTGGCATGTCAATTTTGATCTTGCTGCTGTCATTAGAACTGGGATTGGCTAGTCCCTACTGTAGGAGTTCAATTTCCTTTGTCCATGTTGTCCATTTTTGTGTTATATTTGTTCTGTATGTGGCACTGTTGCACTGTGATGAAGTATATAAAAGTGCATTATGTTTTGACACACTTTGGGTTGGTTGGCCGTCATAATATCTTGTTGGTTATATATGTCAATTGGTGATCGCCATTTATTTCTGTCTCACTTACATTTCTATTGTTGCAGGATTTGAAAGAGATGGAATTTTTCACGGAGTATGGGGATGCCAATAGATATAAAGTTTTGGAGGTCATTGGAAAAGGAAGCTATGGAGTTGTTTGTGCAGCAATAGACACTCATACTGGCGAAAAAGTGGCAATAAAAAAAATACACGATGTTTTCGAGCACATCTCTGATGCTATTCGAATTTTGAGAGAAGTCAAGTTGCTTAGGCTGCTAAGGCACCCTGACATTGTTGAGATTAAGCGGATCATGTTACCTCCTTCCAAGCGGGAATTCAGAGACATTTTTGTCGTTTTTGAGCTCATGGAGTCTGATCTTCATCAAGTTATCAAAGCTAATGATGACTTAACGAGGGAACATCACCAATTTTTTCTTTATCAAATGCTTCGTGCTTTGAAGTATATGCATACAGGTAATGGTGTCTCTGATTTTTTTTCTTAAAATCAGGCTTTTGTCGAACTCTCTTTCCTACATTTCTTGTAAGTGAAACTTTTCAGCAAATGCCTGGTGGTAAGTTTCAGGTGCTTGGCAATCACTTTGTTTTATCTCTCTTATCTGGTTTATTTTGAATAATTATTCTGGTGTCTCATAGTTTTGAATCCGCATTGCAGCGAACGTGTACCATAGAGATCTCAAACCCAAGAATATACTGGCAAATGCAAATTGCAAACTCAAAATCTGCGATTTCGGGTTAGCAAGAGTTGCATTCAGTGATACACCGACGACAGTTTTCTGGACGGTAATGATTTCTGCTCAGTTGTTTACGAGGGTGTGTTGAGATTGGGCTCTCATTTTTCTGTGATGTGGCTTGTTCATATGCTAATGTTTCTCAATTACGTGTTGCAGGACTATGTGGCCACGAGATGGTATAGGGCTCCAGAGCTATGCGGGTCTTTCTTTTCTAAGGTTTGTTCCTTTCAGACTGTATGTTTGTCTTTATGTTGGTTTTCGTTATTTTGCGGTGGTTTTTGTGATTTTGCGGTGAAATACGATACAGTTGAAAGAAAGTGGCATTCCTTTTTCCTGGTTATTGTTAGAAGTTGCTGGACCTATTTAATTGCTTCACATGTTGGTTATGGTTTGGGATTCCTTAATAAAAGAGGCCGAGCAATGAAAGCTTACTGGAGCATATGAGCACATGCATATGCTCTACACCATAATCACATGCATATGCTTTACAACTTACAATTGTCATGAATGTGGAAAGATTCTATTGTAGAAGACTGAGACTTATGGACCTCATTTTGGTAATTCAGATTTGATTAGTTCATCAAATTCTTTGTCTGTTGAACTGTTCTGCAGAGGTCCAGTCATAAGAAGAATAAGGCCAATTTAGCTTATTCCAGGCTTAATTTTTAAACATTGAATCCAAGAAGGGCACCGCATTAGAAAATTCAAGTACTGAAGTCAGCATTTGGCATACAAGTCATCTCTTTATGAAACTCATTGTTTGACCATCAAACCCTTTGATCTCCAATTTGTCATTTTCAGCTCTAGTTCGACAGTCAAACCACATAGCTAGCTCTGGTTCGACAGTCAAAACACTTATTCTCGCCATTTAGTATATATGTTAATCATGGGCTGATATTTTCAGAGGCAGATGCCATGAAAACTTTTTCCTTAATTTTAATCTTGCTATGTGCAAGATGATCTAGATATCTGAGGCATCTTTCACGCCTTGGGTGATTTGGTGGTCTAACATGAATAATATATCTATTGAAGCAAAACTGTTACCTGTGTCTATATGTTTGTATTCTACATGCAATAAACAGTAATCCTTAGATTAAAATAACTCTTGTTCAGGGAGGACTATGAAATGTCTCCCGAAAGTTAAAAATTTCTGTCGTTTTCAGGTAAATGGTGTCAGTTTAATGTATGTTTTCCGTGGGTGGTTCTGTTGACAGCCTCAACATTTGTTATCTTGCCCAAGATTTTCTAACTTTAACCGTGATTTTGCATACAGTATACGCCAGCAATTGATATTTGGAGCATCGGCTGCATATTTGCCGAGGTGTTGATAGGGAAGCCCTTGTTCCCTGGTAAAAGTGTCGTCCACCAATTAGACATTATCACCGATCTTCTTGGGACTCCTGCACAGGATACCATTTCCGGGGTATGCTAACATTCACTTCTCCTGACCATCTCTGCCACCGGCTAAAATTATTTGATATTGATGCTGTAAAACCAACACATTACTTTTCAGGTGAGAAATGATAAAGCTAGGAAGTATTTAACTGAGATGAGGAAAAAACAGCCTGTGCCATTTGCGCACAAGTTCCCGAGCGCAGATCCCTTGGCACTACGACTTCTCCAAAGGCTCTTAGCTTTTGATCCAAATGATCGGCCAACTGCAGAGGAGGTTTGCGTTTAAAGCCTGTACTAGTGTGTTCGTTTTGTTTGGGTATCAACGTGTTCTTATTATTAACAGTCTTTCTGTTGACATAGGCTCTTGCGGATCCTTACTTTAGGGGCCTATCGAAAATAGAGAGGGAGCCCTCTTGTCAGCCGATCTCAAAGTTGGAGTTCGAGTTTGAAAGGAGAAGGGTTACGAAGGATGACATCAGGGAGCTCCTTTATCGGGAGATACTCGAGTATCATCCGCAGTTGTTGAAAGACTACATGAGTGGGAATGAAGGCACGAACTTCCTCTATCCTAGGTTTGAGAAATCCTCCTTTGTAGAATTTCTAATTTATATTTCACAAGGTTGTTTCATTTGCTGAATACCTCTTTGTTGTTGTGATGCAGTGCGATAGGTCATTTCAGAAAGCAGTTTGCATACCTTGAAGAAAATAGCGGTCGTAGTGCACCGGTTATTCCTCTAGAGAGGAAGCACGTCTCTCTCCCTCGGTATGGCCTAATTACTGAGTTGATTTCAAATCTCTCACAACACCCTCTGGTTGGTCTCCTCACACTGGTCTCGATCCTCTGGTTTCAGGCCCACAGTTCATTCGACATCAATGTCTCATAACATACCGTCTTCAACTTCAGTTGACAACCATCAAGTAACAGATGAAGTCTCCAAAAACTTCAGGGGAACCGACGGTGTTGCTGGGAATGCTTCTAGGACCTTACGGCCGCCGCCTAGAGTGCCTACAGGTACATTTTTTGTTGTTGCCTCCTGGTTTGTACTAATGCCATGGGTTTGTCCTGGAATGGCTCGTCTATTAGCTAACCAGAGTTCATATGATCAAGTCTTGACTTTGCAGTTCTTTTCCTTTCTCCACTACGTGTTTAACATACTTCCCTTTATTCAGTGAATGCAGCAAAGCCCGGTAGAGTTGTAGGATCAGTTGTACCATGTGACAATACCAGAAACCTTGTCAAAGATGGTGTCTACGATGCAAGGAATGTGTACAGAAACACCACCACAGTATCTCCCCCATGCTTCTTCAGGACCACCACGAACTCCGCCCCAACGACGAAAAACAAGTCGTCCTTGATAGACGCCGAGCACCACCACACAACATCGCAAGCCAGGCCGCAGCAACCTCTTCATCAGCAGCACAACATGATGACGATGGGGAAGCCACTAGTTCCATCAGGAATAATAGCAACGGAGATTAACAACACTAACCCGTACTACCACCACCACCACCAGCAGCAACAAGCAGCCAAAGTGGTGGTGGAGCATCAGCATCAGCAGATGAATGAGCGAATTGCCATCGACGCGAAGCTGATCCAGGCCCAGTCTCACTATGGCCCTGCTGGCGCGGCTGCCATAGCTGTGGCGGCTCATCGGAATGTGGGGACGGTTCATTATGGGTTGTCTTAGACAGGGAAAGAAATGAATGAGGGAGATGAAAGGGAGGTGGGTTTGAGTTTAGCGGTGTTTGTATGTATGTATTGTTTACATCCTGATGTAAGTAAACCATTCTTACTGCCAAGTTCTCATTTGTCAATGGAAAAATAACGACATTGATTGGCCTGTTGTAGTGTTCCAGGATCAACCCTCCTCTTAATATAGTTAGTTAGTTACTGTCCTCCACAGTCATCCAAGGGTCCAACCCTCTTCTCCTCTCCGCTCCATGATTATTGATGCCTGAGAAAGAATCGGGTTGTGTGTACTCTCTCCTAAAGCTGTCGTCATCATAAACCTGAAAGGGACGAAGGAAAGGGAATCTGCAGTAAAAGCAGGAGATCAGAAGCAGAAGGAGATTGGCCCTACAGTACTCTGCGACCCTCTCTCACACGCTATCAGAAGAACATAAATATGGCCACCGGTAACACACCATCTTTGTCAGCCTCTCATGCCTTGTTACATCAGTTGCTGTCAACCAAATTTTTAAACCATTTCCTACAAACACGTATCAGGAACGAAACCTCATTCCATTCACTTTCAACACACACTCTCCCTCCCTCTCTCTATCTCTCTGTATTCTCTCTCCCCTGCTAAGGAAGAAGATGGCGCAGCCGGAGGATGTGGAGATCAGCAGCGGAGACAGCGGCGGTGCCGGGCCATCCCAACCGATGATCGCTCTCGCCATCAAGGGCCAGGTGCAGATTTCTAGATCATAACTTTGTCTTTGTGCTTCTCAAAATGTTTTAGCGACCAGACAAACTAACGCTAGCCAGCTGTAACGATGTACCAAACAAAATTGCAGGATGGTGAGGTGCTGCATTTCATGGTGAATATTCACAAGCCGATCAAGAAGCTCCTCCTCAATTACTGCCAGAAGAAGTTACTGGATCTCAAACTCTTGACGTTCCTCATTAACCAGAGGAACTTCGACCACCGCAAGACCCCTGCCGAAGTAATTATCAGTCATTTAACTACTAGTACTCTACACGAAACTAAACTGAATTTGCTACTCTGATCTAACCAGTCGTTTGTTTGGTTTGATGTATGTTCTAATGTCTGTGGAATGTTGATGCTGTGTGTTTGTATCTATCTATACGCAGCTTGGGCTGAAGGACAGGGAGCTGATTGTTGTCGTGATGACCAACTATGGCGGCTGATGATCACCGGACAATGTTCGCGGCGCCTCCTACTCCCAACTTGGATATATGATTTTAGGAATCAAGTGTTAACTGTCTCACTCGCTAGATGGGTAGAAGCTTCTCTGATTAATCAATATTAACTTTGTGTACGTATATGTCTACTTTTGTGACTTCTACCTTGCTATGATCCTTGTGTTGTGATTGGCTTCTTTCATCGCCATTTCTGGGTGATGAAGCTGGACAAATCAACTGGTTATGCTGCAAAATCCATGATGAAATGGTCACGCTCGAATCAGTGATATGCTGCTGGACAATGATGAAAGAGCAACTTTGTATCTCTAATGTTTTTTTATCTGTGGTGGAAAAAAATATACGAAACGAAAGAGAGAAGATGAATGATCGTACAAAGCAGTTTAATTTATTGATGAGTGACAACTCGATATGTATATCCATAACAAATATCGTATATACTTGTTCTTAGTTATCTTTTAACCCTCCAACTCAACTCCCATGATCATATCGTTCACATGCATACAATGTGGTATATGTCTAAATCCTCAAAGAATGAATGTAGGATTTCCCATTGAGCTCCCTGGCAAAGACGCCTTTGAAGAAATCTTCCACTAGTATTTTCTTGAACCTTGGTGGATTCTCATCAGTCACCAAGCTTTTGGCAGGGCCTATCTCTTTCTCATAGCTTGGCCCATAAAATGTTGCGATGGAGAGCCTTTCTTTCTCTGAATTCACAGTTGCCCGATGCTCAATGCTTCTATAAGCCCCGTTCGTTACAATCTGCATCCACACAACAAAGTCCTATTGTGTTAGGATATGAACAAGGTTCGGTGTTTAAGATGTATAATAGAGTAAAAACTCGTGTTCGCGGACCCCTGTTGTACCAATTATCTGACGGAAAAAAGTATTCTAACGATCCAATCGTTCTATCAGAATTTAAATTAATAGGTGATTTTTGTGTCACGAAACGATTGGCCACGATTAACTACAATTTCAACATAAAAATAACTTTTCATGATTTGATCTAATTACCTCGACAATGTCTCCAATGTTGATGACAAAGGCGTCGGGGAGGGGCTTGACGGAAACCCAATTGCCGTTTTTCCTGATTTGGAGGCCTTCGACTTGGTTGAGCTGGAGAAGGATGGTCAGGCCCGTGGCGTCGGAGTGTGGAGTGAGCCCAATGACTTGATTGGGCTGAGGGCATGGTGGATAATAGTTCATTCTCATGGATTGGTGGCCATCGTCGAAAAGCTCCCTCATTTCATTCTCTTCCATGTCTAGTGCTCTGGCCATATGGACCAAGATCTCCATTGCTGTTTTCTTCAGCCCCATTGAATAAGCCTCCAATGTGTCCCTGTAATAACCAAACAAATATAATTACTTATATGGTCACCAAACTTTGAATGCGCTTTGATTATTGTTCGAGAGGGAAATTGACCTTAGAGGCAGGGGAAGGTTTGGGAACAAGTGGGGTTTCCTCTCACTTGGCGGCTGAGTGACGAGGAAGAAGAGGTCAGCCCAATCCAGCTTCTGTTCATCGGACACCACGAATGCTTGGCCGAAGCCTTCTACTTCTCCTTCTCTCTGCCAGAACTTTTGCTTCTCTTCCATGGTGAGGTTGAAGAACTGCTCCACCTCTGCCTTCACTTTCTCCAGAAGGGCACTGCTGACTCCATGGTTGATCAACTGCAAAAACACCATCCATATATGGTTGCGTCGGTTTAGTCATCCTGTATATAGACTTTTTTCAACAACTCGAATTATTTGGATCAACGAATTTTACACTCATTATGGACATGTTGAAACTTTACACTCATGGGTCGAATTTCGTTAAAAGAAGTACTTAGTAAGAGAATAATATAACATATTAATAGTTGAATCTTTTTCTCGCAATAACTCGAATCACATGTCATCATGTCGCTTATGAATCCCCTGTCTTCATTCCAAAAGGATGGATAAGATTTAAATATTTAATCCTTTTTATTTTACAGATTTAATTTTATGCCTATAATTATATCAAATTCAAATGGGTTAAAGTTCACTCGTTGACCTTGCTGAAGGTATGTGATTGAAGCGTCCACAATGAAAAACTAATCTGATTTACGTGAGAACGGTAGGATTAAGGTCATAAATAAGAGATTAGTAAATTTGCAAATGATGGTGAAATGGTCAATTATGAGCGATTCCAATAAAAAAAAAAAGGTCAACGCTAATCAGCATGGCTTATGATGACGTAGACGTTAATCTATATCCTCCCACTTGCTGCTTAGCTGAACCTCTCTAGAGTTTAGAGTTAAAGGCATATATGCAACTTGATAAAATATCCAAGTAAGAGTGCCAACTACCACGTAACTCTATAATGATGTAATTCTTTTATTTCGAAATATCCAAAATTCATCCTAAAAAATAACCATCGTTATATTATATATGTACGCCTTGTATCCACAACATATCATCCCAATGAATTTCTTTTCATCCCCATTCTGATCGAGTATATCACATAGCCAGCATAATTTATTATATATTGTTGTGAATGTAACATGCAATTTATTGTACAATAAATGGAAATCGCCAAAGTCCATGTATTCGTCACTTGTTTGTTTTGAGGCACGTACATGGCCTAGGGATTGACCATGTATTGTAACATGCAATTTATTGTACAATAAAATAAATCAATAATAATCCGAAGATTTGACGACGACGAACCTGGAAGAAACCCCAGTGGGTGGAAGCGAAGTGGAGCTTGGAGAGCTCAGAGGCCATGGAATCAGGCGAAAGCAGCTTCTCCATATCGATCACAGGCACCTCATCGTCGCCAACAGCAGCATTAATAACCGATCCGCCATTTTTTATATCATCACTCGCAGATCTAGTCACGAGCTCCTCCCTTTCCCTTATGTATCTTGGAGGAACAGCGGCTCGAGCGTTGTTGGATTTGGCCAACTCCTGAACACTAGGCACCAGAAGTGAGCTCCCGAGCTTGGAAGAACCCATCTACCTATGTCTCTCTTCCTCTACGTGTTTGTGGTAATGTATGACAGATTTTCGATGGAGATAATTAAGAAGCTAATTATATCTAGCTAGCAGTAAGATGGTGGTGTATGTAGTAAATAGGTTTGAAAGTTGGATACCAAACTGCGTTGTATATGGTTCTATTTATAGGAAACGGTCGATTAAGGTCATAAAACCTAACCTTAACCATGTTTGACCTAATAAATTAATTAATACGGCGAAGACATCGATCGATAGTGACGATTTCTAGAAACGTAGCAACCCAGCAGTTGAATAATGGAACTTGGGCTAGCTGCGTTGACAAATCTGTTCCTCCGATCCAGCCTTCAGGTAGGTTTGGTGCCAATTTAATTTTTGTATCTGTCCACGATCGATGGTTGGAGTGGACGACTGTTTTCATCTATGCATGCAATTAGTCCTTGCTAACGAAAAGTATATCTTGTTATTTATGGATCAACCGACCTCCCTTACTTGAAGATGATTTAACACTTTTTCGCAATGATAATATTATATATACATAGGGTTGGATACAACCCATAATAACTATGTTGTAAGTTATTTATGGTAATTCGTCTAAACATATTATAGGGATTCTCTCTTATAGATTAAATTCGTTTTATTCAAAATCGTATGCGTAAAAATCTTCCTTCGGGCGAGATTGATTATTCAAAAATAATGACATGGACATGTATATATCGATCGAGGGGCCAATAGTATGTTTACAAATTTGGTATAAGACGAGTGTTTATATATTGATCAGGGTATGAATGTGCACAAGATTAGGTTAATGATGTGCGTATAAAGCTACCGTGTGTACAAAATGGTATGACGAGTATGAATAAAATTAAACTTTTGATATGTCGGTGGTTGCGCGTATAAAGCAACGACTAATGTGTGTAAGGAATGGTATGGTATGATGAGTATGTATAAAATAAACTATCAAAAGTATAGATGGTGGTTGTGTATCAACTAGGCCATAAATGTGTATAAATCATACAAGTGAATGGATTTTGTATGAACAAGGTGAGGTTGATGGATGTAATAGATAATTAACGACGAGTTGAATATGCTATAAACTAGACTCTAATTAACTATGTATAATTAAGCCGAATGATGAACGTATAAAGATATTGTTATTTGAATGTGTACAGACTATAGAATAAGACATTAATTTCTTTCTTACACCACAAGAGGTGGCAGAGATTTGGGTAATGTGCATGTCATGGGTGACTCGTAAGTGAAGTCATACGTTTACCAAACATATACATAAAATATGGAAATATGAAAACAAAACGGCTTTGCAGATGGATATGGATATTTTTTTTGTGTAAGAAAAAAGATATTCTCAACAGAGAAAACGGTGCAGATTATTCACCGAATAAAAAATAAAAATAAAAACGGTGCAGATGACATAACCGTGATGTCAAGATGATGAACATATTTGTCTTATCCTTTCCCACCTGTTGCCTGTTACCAAATGCCTTGGATTTGGTTTATTGTGGTCGAGTGTTGATCCAATCATATATATATCACCAATTATAAGGAAACGAGTTTGATGCAAAGATAGTGGTCAAATTCTAGTGGTCAAATTACATTGAGCGAATAAATTTAATGGATTTTTTACGAATAAAATAAAGAATTATAATCAATGAAATTTAGAATTCTCGCAACTCTCAAGATTTTCATCTCAATTTGAATAAAAATAATATAATTTAAACACAATTCATTTTCTAAATTTATCACTCCGAACAACAATAATTTAATTATTCAACCGTCTTAAATTTCATCGGTTTAAATTTCACCCATTATAACATTTATTCATCCAAACAACTCCTTCATTTTGCTTTGGCTAAAAGTTTATTATAAGAACCGAACCGGATGAACGCCTGGGCTAGTAGAACCGTCAAACCAATTATGATAGTGGTCCGGTTTATTACTTGGACGATTATTGATGGACCAAACAATTTTTCACAGTTCAACATAAAACCAGATGAACCACCGCGGTTCAACTAGTCACTAGTTCACTATTTTAAGCACAAAAGTTTTTAAAAAAATACTTTAACGTAAACTAAAACCATCAAACCATGATTATTTATTTTTATATACGTCTTCTCATTTTTCAACCTTGTAGTCGTTTTTACGTGATCCACTACCAATTAGCACCATAATTTTTAACTTGAATTAAAAAACTTATGATTTCTTATGTGAGACGATTTCAATGATTTATTAGATATTTAGGTGATGATATGAATTATTTATGATCTTAAATTAGTGTAATATACAAGTCTTGTATGTTACATATCATGAGCAGTTCTATCAACGGTTAACCATTGAACCCTAAACCACTAACTTTTCCGGTTCAGCCTCCGGTTCGGTTTTGAAAACAGAAAACAAAGTAATGGGTTGAACATTTTATTTTGGTCATTTCATTTCACATACCATGAACTCAAGTCGATGAGTAAAAGTAATGTTATAGGAGTGAAATACAACCTAACCCAAAACAACTAGAGCATATCAATGATCAAATTAAACGCATCAAGTCATTCTATTTGAGAATGAACAATGAAATATGTAACTAGGGCAAAGATAAAATATGAAGGTCTAATGATGATCGGAGGAATCAAATGGTCTTAGACTCTAGAACATTGTAAGGAAGGGAAAAAAAATCAAACACAGAACATCCATCTAACACAGCATGAGATTGACAGTAAATAGAACAACACATGAGCAAAGTCAATGTGCTGCTATCCAAAGGCACCTATTGGAATTTTCATTAGTCAACAAAAGTCGATTTCATTCTGGAAAATGATTCATACCCACCGAAGAACACAAATGTCAACTCTTCTGGACCAACAACAAAAGTAAACCACTCCCTAGAAGGAAGAAAATTAAGAAAATTCAACTGTGCTGACATTTCACAGACTAACCCCACAGTATTAACTCTAGATTCTACTGTTAAAGGAAGAATTAAGATACAAATACAAGAGACTATTCTTGCCATTCTACATTGAGAAGTAAAACTTGTACCTTTGATGCAAAACATTAAGCAGACCGATCTAACCTAGTAGTAATGCGAAGATGAAAAGGAAATAAAATGCATGTCCTGAGTTCGAACCTTTAGCTCAACCAGTCAACCTAGAAACTCAAACCATCCATGGTGCTCACTTGCTTGCTACCTCCTCTGCTCTCCCCTGGCCACAATCTTGTACTTCCCTGTCCTCTGTTGCTGTAACAACAAAACAAACAGAGAGAAATCAAAGCTCCAACAATGGCAACTGGAAACAAACTGTATTAATCACAACCCACTTTATCTCTTTACAAAAAGATTTACCTTTTCCCAAAGCTCAGTATGCGTTCTGCAGAACCCAGCAACAATGGCTTCCTTACTCTTACTACCTCCATCTCTATACTCAATACACAACTCCTCCTTCAACCCGCAAGTGATATGAAAAGCCAGGGGACAATTCATTTCAGAGCACTCCATCACACACCCTTCCCTGCTTTTACAAACATAACACTTCTCCCTCCACCTTCTCTTGGGAACTTTAGAACAATCGATCCCTTCTCGGCCATCCGGGTCTTCAAAGAACACCTCAGGGATTAGAAGTGCGCACACTATGTGTGCCCACACGCCATCCCTTTTCGTTGGCTTCAACCCGCCGTCCTGCTTGGGGCAGAGGCAACAAGACAATGGGACCTTCTTTTTCGTCCCATCGGAAACAGAGCACTCTGCACAGAACCAGTCACCTTCAGGCACGCCATTGATCAATGGTGCACCGTAGCATGTTGTGTGGACCATTAGATCACACCCGTCGCAGAACACGATGGGATCCGATGGGTCTCCGTCCGTGCTGCCACAGACAGCGCAGAGGATCCCGTCTTCATCATCATCATCTTCTTCTTCACTGTCAATTTGACCAATTTCATGTTCACAATCGGCTTGGGCGGTTTCAGTCGATTGTGAGCTAGTAATTGGAATGGCTAATGTAAATCAGCATCGAGGTTCTAGCGTAAATTGAATGAAAACAAGAGTAAATTTAAGAGCTTGATTTCTTGAGATTCAACGCACCTCAAGACTGGGATCTTATGGTTATCTACCTGTCTCTTCTTCTCGTTCCTGTTATGATTGTGAGCTTCTTCGTAATCATACAGAGGGTCGTACTGAACATTCAAATCCAGAGGCAAAAGTGGTGACAGCAGCGACGGCTTAACTGAGCAGTCGTGGTCGTCGAGATCTGGAGGCTGAAACGCCCAAACCCTTTTCTTGGTAGGCAGAGAATAAGTGACTGCCGCAGCAGCTGCAGGACGAGGAGGAGAAAGAGGTAGAAGTGGCGGCTTCCGAGACTCAATCCGCTTCTTGGCCGGAAGAAGCTGCTGTGAAGAGGAAGAAGGTATAAACGGCGGGGGAATATTTTCTTTGCTTTCTTCTTCTTCTTTTTTCTGCTGCTGCTGCTGCAAGAGCCTGAACCTTTTGAGAGGAGGCAAAGTTTGAAACTGGGTAGCCATTTCTATTCTACCTCAGTTGCTCTGTAATTTCTCTTGCGGGATTGAGAGGGGAAGAAACAGAGGGTAGCTGATTTTATTAGGGTTTGGTTTCGTTCTGAATGAGATGCAAGATTACAAGCTATTTTTATCTAGGAGTTGGGGGGGTTTTGAAATTGGCGGCGGAGGGAACAAATTCGAAAAGGGCTCTGAAATCTCAAACTGAAAATGGTTTTCGGGGGCGCGACGCGCGAGAGATTATGGAGGGCACTCAGGGCAGCAATCTCTAATCTGAAACACTTCTCGTGGGACGGAGGG